GGGGGGGGGGGGGGGGGGTAGGGGGGTAATGTAAGCTATCGAGATATCAAAACAACGGAAGTGTTGAAAATTATAATAAATCTTTGTCAGGATAGCCTTGAGTATGAGGGATCGAACCCTTGTCCCTGTTGCAAACACACAGTTCGTTGGCTCGACCAGTATCACAATGGAGTCATTTGCTTTCTACGTCCTGCCGAAATTTCCACAAGCCTGGATTTAGCTTCAGATACAATTTATACTAATGTGTTTTCTTTTACACGTTAATAGTTGTACGAACACAGAGTGCACTGTCTTCCAAGTTCACCATCCACAGCAGACAGCTTTGTAACAGCTGAGTAAAATTAGCTCTGAAATATAATAAAAGAAGTGTTTGAAACCCCTGGGGTAAGTGGAGCGCTTGATGGAGCAGAAAAGTGGAGACGAAGCAAAACATAAACAAGTCGTTTTGGAAACATATACGACGGGTTTCTTCCACAGTTCGTGCCTTCATAAGATGGATGGGAGGGGACATGTTACACAGTTTTTGGCGCCATTGTTTGGGAGTTTGGATATATCCATCTGTCGTCGAAGATTAGCCTATTCGTGGGTTAGATTGGATCCATTTGTTCTCGGTCAATTCTTGTATATGTAACTGTTTCTAACACAAACACGATGTGTAGGCTCGTAAGAGGTTGCCTTTTGTCAGTAATTAGTTCCCTGGCAGTCAAACATGTAGTGCAATTTGTTCAACACAGCCAGTGATAACCCTCCAACTACCTCCATGTCACTGCAACTTATCCTGAGCAAATAGCATGTCTCAGCATATTGAATTTATTGATCAGAATGAGCCGGGGTAGCTCAGTTAGTACAGTGTTTGACTGGATGACCGGGGTTCGATCTGTAGCAGGGACAAATTATTTTTTCTCTAGCCTTTACGTGCAGACCGGCTCTGGGGCCCACCCATCCTCCTATCCAAGGGGTACCGAGGGTTATGAGTGACCAGGTCGTCAAGCTGATCACCTACCCCGTCTAGTCCCGCGGTCATGAAGTACCTCCGTGGAGTGTACCAAGCAGATAGTTTTACGTTTACTTTTATTGACCAGTTGATTAAGGTGATTTTTCTGTGATATATGGTTAATATTATAAGAAACTTGTCAAAAACACTAAATCTTTACAAAGTTCATTCTCACTTGGTTTTCCATTTAAATTATTCAACGCCTCTACAAACCTCTTGTTCGTTAGTAAACTTACTATTTGTTTCAGGCTCAGTTTTTGAATTAGATAATCTTCCTTTTGTTCCTAAAAGTTATGCTACGTTCACGTTTTACATATTTGTAATTATCTTCAACTGTAGCCTCTTCATTTAACGTCCTTCCTTTGATCCACTAATTAGAGCACTTTTCGTTAAATCACGGTTTATTCTATTTTAGCCCATAACATTCTGGTCTCTTTTATATTCCCAAGACCTCTTAATTTTCATAATTTCATAAAAGATTTCCTAAGATCGTACTTTGCTCAAGGTTTTATCGCTAGACTTCCATTCAACATCCTTGTTGTTTGCTTTCGCATTTTTCATAACACATTAAAACTAAACAGGGTAGAGTGATAGGGAAGCTGTGATTAAGATAGATTTTATAGTGCTTGCCCCCCACATACCCCTTGAAATACCAGGTGATTCAAAAAGGACTTTACAACTTTGAAAGTGTATAGAAATTTATTCAGAAAGCTTACAGAATCGGTTGAGGTGTCATTTTGTATGTGTGAATTATGACATACAAGTCCTTGTTCGGTAATCAGACACATGTGCTAGGTATCGAATCATACAATCATCCTATGTAATGTTGAGAAACGCTGCTGTAGAAGTTAGCGCCTGCAGACTTTCGGTCGGATAACACGCTACACGTTACTGTCGGAGAAGTTGCCGCTGCCCCCCCCCCCAATTAATGTTTTAAATAATAGGCGGATTTTCGTGAAACTTTGTTTGAACATTAAGTTAATTAGATATCATTACATTTCTATTTATTTTAGTGTCCTCATCGATAATATCAGCATGCTGGCCGTGCGAACTTGTAGTGGGAATCACATTAGCGCTAATTATTTTAGTATAAAACTCCGTGTAGTAATGGACAACTGAAATGTGTCATAATTTGACGCGGCCACCATATTTGCTTTATTAGTGGTAAAGATATGAAAAGTACAAACGTGGAGATTTGCTTTCAATGAAGTGAATTTAATCAAAATCAGCTCCATTAATTCAAACGCTTTTAGTTTCGGAGACACACCATCCAGATAGTTAATATTGGTGCAGTACCACAGTTTGACTTGTCGTTTAAATTTAGACAAAAATGTTGCTTCTGTTCTTCTATCGCGTTGTGTTCTGTAAGGTGAAAGGTCATCACTGTAGTCAGAAATGAGCTAATGTAACGGCATTTATTTCTGTAACATCGCTTCAGCACACGCCCCTGCAGTATAATCGCAAAATAAACTGATGAAAACAAATAAACACTGGGTTCATCCCACAGTGGTATAGTCTATGCCATCATCCTCTTATTTGATTCCTTATTATTCTGTTTCTTTTGCACCCCTCGTAGGTAGACAGCAGTGCCATCTCTGTTTCTCCTCCCTCAACCACACTCGCCCACGAGCTATTATACCCTGTCGTGTAAATATTAACACATCGCAACCAAGCTCGCCTCTTCTTCTCTCGATGAGTGGATTCTTGATGTGAACAGGAAGTCGGCCTTGTTTGTAACAATAAACAATGTGGAACCCACATCTCATGATGGGTATCATATGCCTAACATGTTAGCTAATTCAACGGTAAACTAACACATGGATAGACCTATGAGGTGATTATATGGATGTGAACAGTGTTTCAAAAACTGTTGATGTATTCCAGCTTTTGTAAATAGTGTATGAACTACATTGTACAGGGGAGTCCAATGTATATTGCTCAGAGTCAATATTACAGTCTTCGTAGCCAAACTGGGCCCCATGTACTGAATGCCTCTGTATAAACTGGCCATACTTTTATACGGCTGTTAACAGAGTGATTTTGAGCGAAATGTGGTATATCAGTCTGAAGTTATGGATACTTAGGGTAAAAACGGAAGAGTAGTAATCAGAAGAAACTTTGAAGATTTCCGTCTTCTGGGTTGTTGCGCTGTGTAGTCTGGTCGATATTAACCAACGTTTCAGAGGTCATACTGCCTCCGTCATCAGGGCGATATTCAGACTACACAGCGCAACAACCCAGAAGACGGAAATCTTCATACTCACCGCTGTGAGAACCTCAAGTCTTACAGAAGAAACTTTTATTGTAGAACTACAATGAATGGCCTAACTTTTTGAATTGTAAATTCTATTCTACGTCACACTACATAACAGTGAAAGATAATCACATCCCAAACCATTATTGATTTGCACTGGTACATTAAATTATGTACTTTCAGTGACTTTCTTACTTTTTATTAAACAGATTAGTACATTAAATTTAATAAATGATAGACCTTAACAAGATAAATATTGTATAATATGTATTTGCCTTGGTGCAGTTCTGGCAGCGGATGGAATGCACATGTCTTCATCAGACCGCGGTGGTGCTGCTGTCAGTGGAGGGGGAACAAATAAACGCAAACGATCATGGTCACGAGCTGTTTTCTCCAATCTTCAGCGCAAAGGTCTAGAGAAAAGGTTCCAGCTCCAGAAGTATATTACCAAGCCCGACAGGCGACAGTTGGCAGCCACACTTGGGCTCACAGATGCTCAGGTATGCGTAGTAAACATTGCTTTTTCGCTATGGAATTACCAGCGATGTTAAGTTTGTTTAATTCTTGGTTTGAACGTTTTATTTCATTATAATTATAATTCAGGATATAAGTATATGAATCCAGAACTCGTGAATATTCTGATAAATAAGGTTAGAATATTAGTTTGGAATTATCACGTGTTGATCCAGGTGAAGGTGTGGTTCCAGAATCGCCGCATGAAGTGGCGTCATAGCAAGGAGGCCAAACACCAGCAAAGTAGCACCAGCATTAGTGAGAGCAGAAGCACAAGGGAAGAACCAGGTGGTCCAGACTCAACACAGGAGCCAGAGATAGACATCCAAACAGTGGACAGCTGAAAATGGGAAAGATTATATGTACAAGTCTGCAAAATTGTGGTTCAGGAAAAGAAAAGACATATTATATGACACTGTCCCACATATGGATAGAGACCACGTGAAGGTATAATTAGATATTTTGCGAGTAATGTGATAGAACTACAAATTCAGTCACCAACCTGCAGGTTGTCTGATATCTGTTAATGAAACATGCTGAACTTTATGGTCTGTGTCTTAATCCTGCATACTGCATAAACAAAATGAACAGTTTTCAGTGACTTAGACTTTCACAGTCTGTTGTTTTGTTTTCCATATTTACGTCAGGCAATGTCTGACTCTTACAGATATTTTCATGCTATGTCTTTCTTTCCTTTTTTTAAAGAACCAGTGAGTATTCTGTTGAGCCATGATTCAGCTAACATTTATTGCCACATATTTGACTTCATTGCCTTGCTAAAGTTGTCCTTCGTTTTAGACATGGCTGCATATTTGAATTTTAATTGTACAGTAATGCATCTTGATAAGTTTGGTTATAGATTATCTCAAATGAATGTATGGATCAGACATTTGTAACTTCATAACTTTCTTCTCTCAGCACCACCATGAAGTTCAAAGCACCTCTTGTACCCTCCCCTAAGTTTTTTCTAAAAATAGGATTTATGTTATAAAATTGCATGTCTGTATATTTATGCATATAATAATCTTTTAATTAATTTTGTAAAAGTGTTTTCAGTAGATAGATACATATCCAGTTGATTAAAGCTGCAATCTTACAAAATCATATGCATACAAATTGTGAAGAAAGGATTTTATATTGTTTCTAGAAGTTTATAATCAATGGAATTTTATCTGCAGCTTTCATTTAACTGAAACATGGTTTAAAACAGACAACAGCATTTTAGGTGAGATTTCAGAAGAAAACCATCTTCCACAGAATTTCAATATTTACAATTATTTTGCAATTTATGAAATTAAAGAATACTTTTGAAATGTGCCTCAAAATATTGCTTGAACATGTAAGACTTGCATAGAAGCAGATATTTGGTACTTTGAGGCCCTTCTGTTGAATAATGTAAGTCTACATTATATGCATGAGAAAGCATACAGTGGTGTATTAGCAGTCACTCTGTATGGCAATGATTCTGTTTTGTATTGCACTGAGTCTGGCACAATAAAGACTCTGTATGTCTCTTATGTAATTTTAAAATAAATCATGCAGAAACAATGGTCTTTACATACTTGCATAAAAAAATGAAATGAGTGAAATAATTATATTGTTGAAATTGAAGAGAGTTTTCAAAGTGTCTAAACTAATTAATGTTGTTAATTACTTATTTAACAAAACTTACCACTGCCTTTATTCAACCCTTGGTGATTGAGGACTGGGGAGTGTACTTTTCTGGCCTCATATGAGACTCTCCTTTAACATTTTAGGCATGTTCATGGAAGATTCTGACCAAAGATATGATGTATCTGAGATTTGTTAACAGTTAACAATGTAAATAGAATATAAGGCATCAATATTTTTTATCATTTCACTTATTTGTGAATATATATAATTGATATTTTCCACAAATAATATCCATGAATAATTTTTACATAAAGTTTCTAGCTATGTGGTAGATGAGGATTTATTTTGTGGTAATATCTGTTTTGTTTGTCTAATATATTCTCAGAAGAAATATGATGCAAGTAAATTCATATCTTGACATAAATGTTGATAGTGATTTTATTCCAACCAGTTCAGTGTTTCTGTTCCTCTGAATGGCAGCTGTTCTCCCTTCCTTACATCCCCACAAATTTTCTCAGCCACATAATACTTTGACACCCTCCTGTATTTTAGTTTTGTTACCCCCATCCATATAAGCTGGAGTACCTCAGTATAGTGTTTCTCTACATACTGGATGACCAAAATATGATCCCTGGCAAAGGATTTCTCCTCTAACTTCTGCATCCAGACCTTTTGTGATGCTGATCGCCCACTCCCCATTTACTGCTGAGATCAAGAATAAATAGGAGCTATACATCTCCGCACAAGCATCTTCATGGTATGTAGCAGGACAGCTTTACTTTACTATAATCCTAGCCATAGAAACTCATACAGAAGACCATCATGCACCATGAATTGTGTTTTTGATAAAAGAAATGTTTGAAATTGAAATGGAAGTTTTTTAAATTGAATGATTAGATATGATAATAAACTGTGTTGCTGTTCTTATCATCAAATTATTCTCATTTCTAGTTTTGTAATTTTATTTAAACTTAATATGTTCATGGACATCTAATAATGGATGCACAACATTTTGAAAAATATATTCTTGTTATATAAATACCCTTTTTCAAATCAAGCAAACTGCCATAACAGTAACACTAAGGACTTGATCAGAGGGAAATTATGTGAGTGGTAGGGGGTTATGGCTGCATTTGAAGTACTGTTGTGGATTTCACCACGCAAAGTAGGTCGATATAAACACTTTAAATGAGGGGCAATGAGTCTTGAACCACCGAGGCACCTATTTTATTCATTGATTGTCAATATTGAATAATAACCAATCGAGCTAAAGGTGTCGGATATGAAAATGGACGCATGTATGGTGAGTGTGTATAGATGGCAGTAAAAGCTTCTTGCTAACCCATGACATTCATATCCGGTTTAGAAGTATCCGTTTGTGTCTCGTATTGAAGTATTTGACTGCAAAGCTGAGTTTTTAGTAAACAACTTTTTGGTTTAAATTGTGCCCTAAGTAAATTATGGCAGGGTGCCTAGAAAATTTACAGCTTCCCCCATGTGTTTGGTTCGAAGGAGATGATAAAAGAAACGCAATTGCTTCGATTGTAGCTGGTGTTCTGGTAAGTGATCTGTCACTATATCAATAGCAGTCATCAGTTTTTAAATCTTTTGTTTTTGATTATCGTATTCTGACAAAGAACAACATTTACTTTGTTTGTTTAACTGTTAATGATTCTGTTGCAGTTTTTCACTGGTTGGTGGTTAATTATAGATGTTCAAGCAGCATATCCTCAAGCTGAGCAGTTCAATAAAGCATATCACGTCTGTGGTGTATTTGGAACCATCTCGTTATTTATGTGAGTTTCAATAACTATAAGAATACGGCATAATTACGAAAATATACAATGAGTTTTCTGCGAATGCAGATACAGGTGAAAGAGTGCCATGTCTGTTCACACAGGCATAACACAAGTTTGCTTCTTGGCTGTGCTGTCTTGAAAACTCACTGTACAGTTAAGACTGCCATTTGGAACTATCTCAGAAAAAATAAATTTATGTTGCAAAGAAGTTCAGAACGTCCTGAAATTGGATACTGTGAAATTCTGCTTTGAAGGGACAGTATACCTCAAAATTATTTAGATTGAAGATGACCTGACACAGACAACAGATTTCATATTTGTAGTCCTTTACAATCTCTCTCATACTAAAATAATTAGATTGTTCATGCACTGTAGAAAGTCGATGAAAATAAAAATGTGTGCCAGTTTAAATTGTTACTCTAGCATTTGATGACAATTTGTAGATAAATTTATTTCTTTAATTTTCATAAATGAAATTTAAATAAAGCTGCTCATTCTGAGCTCATAAAATTTTGTGTATAGGAAATTTGAAGATATGTCGAAAAATGAAGTGTTTTATGATGTTCAACCAAAGTACTGCGAAGGATAGTGATATATTGGTTGTAGTAGAGTATAGGTATACTTTTTACACACACTTGCGCAATGTATATGTTCTGTGGTAAAATCTTCTCAAGTGATCAGCTTTTTCAGGGATGCCATAATTCTCAATTGGTAAGGACTTTGGCTGTATAGTGACACATAGGTAAAGAAGGTCTCTAAAATGTTGGACTTCATATCTGAATTGGTGTAGGTGATTGCCCAAGAAAATTTTATCATTTCTAATCTCCATGAAAACTTTTATGAATAATGTGATATCCCTTTTCTGCAGGATCAATTCTGTTTCAAATGCTCAAATTCGAGGTGATGCCTACTCTGGTGGCTGCTTTGGCTCTCGTGGTGCCAGATTCTGGCTTTTTGGTGGATTCGTTATGGGTTTTGGAGCTGTAATTGCTTCTTGTTGGATCTTATTTGATGACTATGTTGCGTATGGTGAAGGTAAGTGTCTTTTTCATTTTATATTCCTTTGTGTCAAGTTTTAGGTGTTTTGAAATGAAAATATAGTTTGAAGTACTTTTTATGTACCATTAACAGCAAATAAGAATTATTCCAAAAATTTGTGTTCTACTTAATCAAACATATTTACATATATTTTATGGTGATGTGGTGAAATTCCAAAGCTTTCTGGCGTCTGGCCACTGAAGTTGCAAAGTGTGAAAACTTCTGTCAATTTCATAGTTTATGTAGCATCAAATTAGAAATTATGTGTCACTTGTGAAGTGTTGGAAAGGCTGTGGGATGAAATGGTCATAGTCTTTACTTAAAGTATGCTAGCAACTACCCGGGGAGACACATAAAAGCCACGAAATTTCACACCGAGTCTAGTGAAGAAGATTCAAAATATGATGTAAGTGTGGTACCCACTGCATTACAATATTCAGTACATTGTATTTTTTATACAGTTCATGAGAAAGTACCAAATGCAATATGCTTATATTTATATTTTTGACATGCATCAGTAGAAGGTAATGTAATGTTATATGTAAGGTCTTTGTACAATTTGGATGTGCACATGTGAAAAATGCAGACAATTAATATTAATCTGGAAACACTTTTACAGCACTTAAATTATTTGTTTTTGCAGGAAAATATTCTGCATGGCCAGGAGTGGGTCTTTTCCTACAGAATGCTTTCATTTTTGTTGGTTCATTGGTATTTAAGTTTGGAAGAACAGAAGATCATTGGAATTAATAGATACTGATTTTCCTATTGACTCTGGTGGTGCAGCATTAACACATATGGTACTGGGTAGAAAAATTGAGTTACCATGATCTGGTGTGATGTTTCATTGCACAAGAAACAGAGTGTAGAAGACTGCATTATGATTTATGTTGCTTACTGTAATAACCTCTGGCTAATTTTTATCCATGTTACAAATAATGGTTAGTGTCCTGTACTCCACAAAATTCCATATTTCATACACAATTGTTACATCTAGTACTAGCATTCACAAGCACAAATGTTCTAATTTTTTAGCCATGCGAATCATGTATTTTCTGGACTATAGGATGCACACAGGTTTCAGAAAGATACTTGCCAGAAAAAAACATATTATAATTTCAACTATAATATGTTTAGAGATTTTAGGCAGCATTTTCTGGGATATTCCTTATATCTTATACTCCATAATATATGGTCAGTGCATTATTCTTCAGAATTTACAGATCTTACAAGGTACTTATATTTAAGGCAATAATGTTATCATATATTGCATGTGTCAGATATTGCCATAATTAATTAATACTTATCTGTTTGTATTTAATTTTTTTTAAATATGTTGTATAGATATTAACATACTGTCATCACCACTATTACCACCTCCACTATGACTAATATTACTATTGCTGTGTACATTTACATCAGCATACTGTTGTTTGGTAAAGCCAGACATCTAAATTAAGAAGTTGAGGTATATATCTAACAGTAGCACAACAAATAGTAATGAACAGAAGTATTTTGTGCAAGACATGTTACCAAGTAATAATAATTGTAACATCTGTTACGCTGTATTCTCTAAAACATAAGTCTGTGTCTGCATGACACTGAACAGAAAGTAACTGCATATTATAAAATCTCAAACATAACGCAACTTACATTAAGCTAATAAAACAAGTAATTATATTACTTATTTAAATTGGCTGTAAAATAAGTATGACTTACAAAACTTAATGTATGGCTGTTAGTTCGTAGCCATTAAAAATCATTTAAATGACATTCAAAGATTTTAATAAATTGTAAATGCTTCCTCTGACTGTACAACTTCATACTATGAATGGCTCTGCAAATCACCAGTTTTATAAATAGTAGCATTACTTTCAAATTATAGAAAGAATAAATGTAAATATAATTCTTTATAACTAGACAGACAGATTAATTAGAATCTTAATTCTGATATTAAGCTTGCGATACTATTGATGAAAGTTTGTATAGGTACTGAAAGTACAGCAATTACATTGCCACGTGGGTGTGAAATGTTCAGTATTGTGTGGAATTTGAAAGAATGGATTAAATATTACAAATTGTATTGTTGTCTTGATTCATTGTGGTACAATGAAAACATTTGTATGTGGAAGTTGATGATCATTAATATATTGAATAAATAATTATAAAGTAACAGGACTGAAGTTATTCAATTAAAATGAGACCATATATATATTTCCAGTTAGTCATCACCTGCCACTGCTTATGTTCTGTATGTTCAATATACATCATATTCTCATTGGTTTGTTGGTAAAATGCATTATGGATATATGAGCAGAACAAACATATGCAATACAGTTCTAACTGGATGAAAGTAAAAGAAGCATTGAAATATTTTAAATAATGCAAAATACATTTACAGAGGAGTAAGTAATTTTTGAATGTCATACAGAAAATTGTGGCAGGTAAATCAGTTGAAGGTGTGAGCAAAATGTTTTTCACATATGTTTAATGTTTCTGTAAAATATGCATAGTGTGGTGTCTAATGAATGTTTTTAAAGTAAGGTGCTAAGTTTTATTGCCAGTCTTGTTACATACTGACCCTCATGTTCAGTATATTAGGATTGACATCAAGTTTGTAGCTGTTCTTTCAGCCACTATTTCTTTTTATTGAATACTTGAAATTGTTATAGCTTCAAACACAGTTTGTATGGCACATGTAAAATCAAGTACTTCAGTCTGTCTATATTGATATGAGTGTTTGTCTTTCTGTATTCTTCGCATTGGACACCATGCTATTAAATATATTAGTCTAGGTTATCCTTCATTTTAGCCAAAATTGTATTTTTATGTTAATTTTCTTTCTGGTGAGTTATGTGTAGGGATGGACACTCCAATCAAGTGGTTTCACCACTATGACAAGATTATTTTCCTTTTCTCAATTCCTGAAAGTACTCTGAAAAGAACTCTTGTTTTTAGTACCACATTTTTAAAATTTAAGGTTATTCAGATTGATTTAATTGTGTTTATTTATATTTTTACTAACAGAGTGCCTGCAGTGTTGGTGTCGTCAAATTCAACAAATGTGTACGTTTATCATAAATATGATCATTCAGTAGGTACCATTGAATACCATTGGAAAAATTATCATCCCAAAACCCAAGGACATTTTATAGCTGTCTTCTGGGTTATAGCAGTGTGTGTAGTCTGGTAGAAGTTTACCAGTGTTTCAGAGGTCCTTGCTGCCTTCCAACTTAAGGATGATGAGTGACTCAGCCAACTTTGGACTCACCTCCATGAAAACCTCAGATCCTTCCAAGAACATTTGTCTTTACAGTATTTAGTTTTAGATGTCTTTCATTCTTTCTGTCTGAATATGAATAGCTGTTGAGCCCGTCCTTTTTCCTCGGGTTTGTTGCGCCGTATATTTGTTGAATTCTGAAAGGAATTTGGGAAAGTCAGGTAAGAATACTTTAAACATTTCTGGTTGTGAAAAAGCACATTTTTAATGAAAAACAGGAGTTACCTACATTGCATTCTTGCAAATTATAGGTTAATCATATTGCATGGACATTTAAGTTAAATTCACATGAAATGTGAAATAAACAGTGTTAATGGAATTAGTGAAGTGCACACTCTTAGTCTGTTGACCTCATTCAAAAGTACACACCCAATTACATTTTTATGCATATTTCATTTAGTCTGACATGAGCTGAATTACCACTTGCTGAAGAATCAATAATTCCAGATCCATATTTTCATGGTCATTTTCATTGTTGCATGTAGCCCAGGTGAGATGCCCAGTGACTGGCAACTTAACATCTATCTGGCATCATTATGTATGATGTCATTAAGCATCTCTGCATGAAACAGTCATGTGTCATTCTCAGGATAATAGGTGTTGTGATGCTTGGCATTGGTCTCCCAGCATTGTGTTGTATGCTTTCATCTTTCCTTTATGCAGACTGGTTGTAACTATAGAATTCATTTGATGAAAGACTCTCGGGCTACAAGCCACGTTAAGTGGTCCTCTGTAGTGCAGTTTCGTTATGCAGCTGCCCTGATGATGAGAGCAGAGATGGCTCTTGAAACGTTAGCAGAGGATATGGTTTATTTACCATTTAGCCGCCTGACGCGTCTTGTAGCCCGAGAGTCTTTCATCGACTTAAGTCGCCTCCAAAGGTTCACTTTATACACAATTTAATTATTAAGGTTGAAGCTTATTTTATGGAAAGTGTTCAACAGTTACTTTTACGGGACCCATTACCAGCATTAGGGTAACAATGACCGGCATCACATGTTTGGGCTCAATTTTTGATGACCATTCCACTATTTCTACATCCGTCATGGAACCAAAGAGTTTGCAATACACCAATCGCTTCGAGAGTAGTGTTTACACCTACCAATGATATTTCGCCACACAAGCGAATATAAAGGATAGGACTGTTGACAACACGAGTTGAAGCAGTGCCGTCAGTGTACATTCGTGGCCAAACACATGTGTAGTACAATATATTCTGCACTAAAAAGTAAGCAGTAGATTTTAGTGCAGAGGTTAAAGAAAACCTGAAATGACATTCGGTTTTGTTGTTGAAGGTATGTACTTGTGATATAATTAATGGAATCAATAAAAACAGTAAATGTCACTTTGATTATTTACAATGATACATATTTTATTCAACCATTCAATATCAGTTTGACATTACAATTTATCCTCAAGCTTTATTGCAATATAGTGCTTCAGGTATAAAAATGGCTACAAGTATTAACTTACAATTTCATTATAAAATTCTTTAAGTGATCATAGTAATGGAAACGAAAACATAACCTAAATGTGATCTGGGCCTAAAATATTTATTTACTATACCGAAGTTAGAACTTACGTTCTAACGCGAAGAACGTATATAATAACTCGGTAAACTTGGAAATGTTATATTTGTATGTGACATTTTTGCAGGTATGTGTATCAGGGTCTGTGCATTTTCTCTTGTGATGGGGATGCTGCTGCTTCCATCTCAGATTGAATCAGTAGCAGTGATGAGCGTGGACCTTGGCAGTGAGTGGATGAAGATTGCTATTGTTTCGGTAATTTTTGTTTCTGCATTTAATTTTGCACACTTCTTGTAACTATGAAAGTACATTCTGTAAAAGAGCAGAATATGTTCCCAACCCACCCACTCCAAGCAAAGTTGAGCTAACCTAACTGATGTAAACTAGCAAAAACAAAACTAATGAGGAAGGAGAGCGATTGATTAAACACTACCTTGGAATGTGGTATGATAAAGTTACCTGAACTATACTTTATGGAATGTTGTAGTACGTAGTACGAAAGTGGCTGTCTTCTGTGTTGTTGCACCATGTAGTCTGGTAGATATTGACCAGTGTTTTATAGGAACTTGCTGACTTCATGATCAGGATGTCAGTTATAATTAGCAAATTACAGGAGCCTCAAAAGAAATACATTAAAGTTAGCTGTTGCTTGCATTCCATTTACATTTCTTAACATGTGGTGGTTTAATATAGACATAAATATTCAACAAAAGGGTGCATTTTAGTAGATTGTGACTGGAATTTGATGACTATGATGAACCATGTGAAGATTTTGAAAATTAATTTTTGGGGGACAAACTACACAGGCTTACCAAATGATCAATACAGACCTAAAATCTGTTTCATGGAATATGGAACTGGCAAGTGGCTTTCTCAGAATTGTAATTTAAAACTTGTTATTTAACTATTTATAAGTATAGAGCTTGATCTTTTTTGACTTCTGTGTAAATTATTGAACAGCTTTTAGAGTAACCATTGGAGGATGTAGGAATGGGTCATATGCAAGGAATGTTGAAGTCTTGAAGAGTTTGCTGTTAGTAATTTTTTAGTAATGTTGAATATTTACTCAAAATAATGTGTGTATATATTTAACACTGTTGCCATCTTCCTCAGCATTGCATAACTTATATTAGTAACGGGAATAACAACTTTTCTTTGTTTATTATATGACATATGTTGTAGGCATATGTTTATGAACTTGATGAACTTGCTATTTGTAAACTTTTATTAATTTCGGGCGAGGAACAATGGGTGTTTTGCTTTCTGTCCATAAACATGTGCAATATAAATGTCCTAAATATTTTTCCAGTCTGATTTAGCCATAATATTAGTGCACTTCCTGTAACAGGAATTTGACTAATCGGTATCTTTGTAATGTTTTGAAGCCTGGAGTACCTATGGAGATAGCACTGAATAAAGAATCTAAACGTAAGACTCCTGTGACTATTGCATTCCGTGATGGGGAACGTACATTTGGCGAAGATGCTGCAACTATTGGAGTACGTTTTCCAAAGAACAGCTACAGTTATCTGCTGGAGCTTCTAGGTAAAAGTGTGGATAACCCAGTTGTACAACTTTACAAACAGCGGTTTCCATACTACGAGATTGTTCCAGATTCAGAAAGAGATACAGTTCTATTTCAGCATGATAGGTAAGCTTCATAATAATCATGCTCTTAGAGGGTTATTTTTAGTTTTTTCTGACAGCAGTTCACCAGCACAAATGTGGCTATTCTGTATTGTCTGTCATTAATAAATATAAAAAGGACATTTTCCAAAAAGGGTCTTTTGTGATTACTTATCCAACAGCTTCCATAAACAGTAAACATTATATAATTGTGTCATGGGTCTTTAGTAAATTTGTTTGGAAAATTTATTTTAGGCTTGTGTTGATATAATATAACACTCTGTTAATATTTTTAGGTTTTCACAGTGGTTAAAATGTTCATTGTGGAGACTGTGGGTTGTGATACTGTGTAGTGTTGTTGGTGGTTGGTGCTTACACTTCTAGCTGAAGATGTAGGCAATACATGCCTTTAATTGTAACCACGTACACGACTGCATGACATCACAATGCAGGAAACTGTGATTGACACCTAATATACCACCTACTTTATTTACATGAAGCTAAGATTTAACTATACATTTTCTTCAGAATGCTTATTTTATATTATATGAAATGTAGACCATTTTATGATTTGAAATTTTTGCTTGCAATATTCTTCAGTATGGTTGATATTTGGGTCCGCAGTGGCTGCGCGGTCTGAGGTGTGGGCTTTGTGCCGCTTGGTTGCTGGGACCATGGGTTCGAATCCCATTCAAGCCATGGATGTTTGTCCGCGTTATTCTGTGTTGTGCTGTCCTGTGTACAGGTAGAGGCCTTGCGACGGGCCGATCCCTCGTCCAAGGAGTCCTACCGAATGTCTACAGATCGAGCCAACGAAAAGTTGGGACCCGCAGTGCTCAGGCACTTGAAGTACGGGTCGTTCCAAGTATCCCAGTATGGTTGATATTTATTGAAATTAAAGAAATGTGATCTAACTCCTTTGTGATATCAGTAGTGTAGATAACTTTAGAACAATAGATTTGTATTTGCCCTAAATACAGGCCAGTGAGCATTAAAAATAAAGAGATTACATTTGAAACATATATGCACTCCAGTGGAGTAAACATAACTAAATATAATGCTGTCATAGCACTGATATTGCATTGCTTAATGATATAATATTTTTATGCAGTGAGACCTTATATAGCCCAGAAGAATTGTTGGGAATGCTGTTACATTGTGCCAGGGAATTTGCTCAAGAATCTGCACGTCAACCCATCAATGAAGCAGTTTTAACAGTTCCTGGATTCTTCAACCAGGCAGAAAGAAGAGCTTTGTTGAAAGCAGCAGAGCTTGCTGGGCTAAAAGTCCTGCAACTCATGAATGACTACACAGCAGGTAAGTTCAGTATTTAGTATTTGAAACTTACAACCTGACACTGCGTATGGTCAGAGTTCCAGAACATGGTCGAAGCAACTGATGTTTAATGAGTGCTCCTGAAAGGACTGTGTTCATTTGCTCATTCTTCTCTTCATTAGCAGTTTTATTAATACACATCTTACATATTGCAGTTGCTCTTAATTATGGCATATTTCGTCGAAAGGACTTCAATGAAACTGCTCAGTACATCATGTTCTATGATATGGGTGCTACCAGCACAACTGCAACCATTGTTAGTTATCAGCTGGTGAAGACAAAGGAGAAAGGATATGTGGAAACTAATCCACAGCTTTCCATAATTGGAGTTGGGTAAGAACCTTACATTTGTACATGAACTTCAGAATGTTTGGATACTACAGCTGTTTGATTTTAAAATATATATCAGAAAGAATAACACAAAACTGCTTCTAATAGTAAAGACATTAATCAAAAAGAAAATACTGAAAGAAATAAATATGTGAAACTGACATGAAACAAGAATCAGCAACAAAATTATAATATGTGTAATCTTTTGAAATTGTTTCAAAATTTAATTATCTGGGTAGAACAATGACATAAATGTGTTTCATGGTTAAATAGGAGGAGACTAAATATTGGTCATATTTGCTAGTATTCAGTTCATAAACTGTTATTATCCCATCAACTTTCCAAAGCATTGAAGATAAAGCCAGTAACTTGAGCAAGCAATAATATTGTTAGTTGTTTTGTATGGGTGTGAAACATGATCTTTTGTTTTAAGTGGTAAATTTATGATATTACATAATATGTAGAATTTGCATGTTCTCATCTGGTCCTGAATTTTGTTGAAGGTATGATCGTACTCTTGGTGGACTAGAGATGCAATTAAGACTGAGGGATTTCTTGGGAAAGAAATTTAATGAAATGAAGAAAACTTCAAACGATGTGTTTAAAAACCCCAGAGCACTCGCAAAATTATTCAAGGAAGCTGGAAGACTTAAGAATGTCCTAAGTGCCAATGCCGATCATTTTGCTCAGGTAAGTGAAATATTAGACGATCGAAACAATTGTAAATACATGAAATTAGTTTAACTTGTTATGAGAAATAATTAATACCTTGTCATATTAATGGGATCTTATTCAGATCTTCCCACTTTATGTGGGGCATCTGATAACCGAGCCCTTCAGTCTGTCTGTTATCCTAAAACAACTCCTCTTCTTCCTCTCCTCCTCCTCAGTTTATTCCCATATTCTTCTCTCTTTCACTGCAACATCTTTCCTAACTTGTGTTCCTGTCCTTGTCTTGGTCTTCCTCGTGGACATTTTCCATATACTTTCATGTTCATATCATGAGATTGTTTGATTGATTGATGGGGTATGTAACTAAATTACTAATAACATGGCTCCACATTGCAGGTAGAAGGTCTTCTAGATGATCAAGACTTTAAACTTCAGGTGACACGAGAAGTGTTTGAGACTTTGTGTTCTGATCTTTTTGGTCGTGTTAAGGGTCCAGTTGATCAGGCGCTCAAGGCATCAGGACTCACATTAGATGTGATTAACCATGTAAGTGGTAAAATAGATGTACCATTTTTGTGACTTAGTATGTCTGTCTCATCATGTGTGCATTGAGTCTAAACACTGAATATCTGAGTTTGTCTTATTTCAAGCTGCACTGTAAAACTTTCAGATTAGTTTTTGCCTTCTTGAAGTATTAACCGATTTCCATTTCATCCCTCTTGGTATTATAAACTATATCAGTAGAATGAAATGCCATACAGAGGAAATAATCAGTTAACTAAAAAATTTTCTGTTTTACTGCTTCTCAGAATGTTTATTTTGAGTTCTTTCATTTATACAATTTTATTTAAATTTGTATTACTGTAAAGCCGTATATGGCTTGAATTGTCAAAGAGGTGGAGGGAAAATTTTGTCATTTGTATGGTCAAACACCAAATACAGGGTGTACCATTTGAAATTCAACCCAGAAAGAATCACATACTGTGGTAAAAAAATGAAATCAGAAGTAGGTCTACCACCCCTATGTAATAGACTCTGCTTTCCTTGTATGTGTTTATTCTGAAACATTACTTCACATTTAAATCATTTGCTGCTGTTCGTGAAACATGTATCTGTGTATATCCTTACAAGTAAGTAATGAATAAGACAACAATATACCAATGGATAACATAATTTTGGGATACATGAAATGTCTGTTATAAAACTGCACTGTATGGATGAAAAAACCCTGGAAGACCGCAGAAGAGACTTTTAGACTATGGGGCCAGAACAGGTGAATATGACCTAACTCCTTGACTGTTTGATGATGATGCTGATGGAATGTTTGTCTGTGACAAGTGCTCATCAAGCGACAGAACAGCTGAAATTGTGTGCTGAAATTTCAAGCAGTGGGATGTGGCAGTGGCTGAGGGAAGTGGTTGAAAAGTTTAGTATTGCCATTGGTGTTATCATGTTTTGTTTGAAGGGTTTTATGTTTTGTAATTTCATCTGCGTTTTAAATGGAAAACACCGTATGTTGCGAGAAGACAGCCTTCGTTTTTGAGCTAGTATTTTATTCATAGCCTGGAAGAGATTAATATTACATGCAATGTAAATTCAGAGTATAAGAATACACTAAATGCATCATTCTTATTTCCAGGTGATCCTTGTGGGTGCAGGTACAAGAGTTCCAAAGGTCCAAGAAAAATTGAGTGAGGCAGTTGGTATGGAACTAGGTAAGAGTATCAACACAGATGAAGCAGCAGCCATGGGTGCTGTATATAAAGCTGCTGACCTCAGTAATGGCTTCAAAGTCAAAAAGTTTCTCACCAAAGATGCAGTTCTATTTCCCATTCAGGTGAGCTGTATGTTTATTCAATTTTAAAGGTTCTGACAGTGATATATTACAATTACTCTTTGTCTGTTACCTAGTTCTCTGGACAGAATATGATTTAGAAACTGGATCTGCTTCTGTCCTTCACTGGTTGTCCACTGATTGAAATTAGCTGTTTCTGATGGACCAAACTTAGTACATACTGTCCATTTTTCACCTGAGGATGCAATGGACCCAGGTTCCAAAGTGAATTACATTTGGAATGTTAAATGAAGTACAAAGTCCAGAAACCCAGTAAGACTACCTTTATGTTTACTGTTTATTCTTGGAACATACATTTAAAATATAATTGATTAGATTTGTCTGTATCAGAATTTAACCATATTTTCCATAATAGAGTTTTGATTAAGTCTGAGTGATTGATTAACAGTAATCCTTTATAGGTGAATATGTGGCGAGCTGTAGTTGCATTGTCCACAGCTCGCCGCAGACCATCTACGGCTACCGAACCATCGGATCAATAGCTAAGTGCATAGTTCTACTCTGTGAATAACAACATCTAGTGCAGTATTGTTTGAAATAACCTTTGTAAAACACCTTATTTATTTCTAAATCCAGTTTAAACCTTTTTATTAAATGAATTAATTTCCCAGATGCCACTGATGATGACCTCTTGAGGTTGAAACGCGTATGACAATAGTGTCTTTTTGTAGTGTTAATAGTTGTTTGTTTACTTATTTTATGTTCTGCAAGGTACATTTCTTTCTAAAACTTGTTATTCCTGTCTCTGTATTTGCTGTGCTTAAAATGGCAGTGTATCCATTCTGATGTATTCTCTTCAAAGTGAAATTTCTTTCTTGTTATTTAATGTTTGGCTGGAAACGCATACTAATTATAATTGTTTATATCCACAGACTTCTGCTTGCATCCTTGTGTTTGTATAGGATACCCGTGTCATGTACTTCATGCTTACTGTACAGGTTGTGTTTGAACGAGATGTGGAAGGGTCTTCCTCTCCAAAACATGTTAAAAGAACACTTTTTGGATCAATGAACCCATATCCACAGAAGAAAATCATCACATTTAACAAGCATCAAAATGATTTTTCATTCCATGTTGGCTATGCAGAATTGGATCACCTCTCTAATCTTGAAATGCAGTGAGTATGATATATACTTTTATACCTCGTAATGTATAGTTTAAATGACCTTAATATTTTGTAAGAACAGAATTTATATAAATTGTCAAGTGTTTTCGAATCTTCATTTATTGAGTAAGATTTGAGGTTATCACAGCGGTGAGTATGAAGATTTCTCTCTTCTGGGTTGTTGCGCCGTGTAGTCTGGTCGATGCTAACCAATGTTTCAGAGGTCATACTGCCTCCGTCATCAGGCTCTGATGACGGAGGCAACAACCCAGAAGACAGAAATCTTCATTTATTAAATTCATTATGGGAGAATAGCACTAATTTCAATTTTCAAGTAATACATTGTGGGGGTTTTGATGAAATTCAACTGCTCGAGGACTGAGTACAGTAGCAGGCTCCTGTTAACATGGAAATGAAATTTTTTTTTGCATACATTCTGTACCCTTACGTTTTGCACGATCATATGGATTGGAAATTCAGATATCCTTAATATAAGTACAAGATGCAGAAGTAACCTTCATGTGCCAAACACTGACCTCATTAAATATCAAAAGGGTGTTTACTGTACTGGAATTAACTTGTTCAGTAATCTCTCCCCTTCCCCCCCCAAAAAAAAAGAAAAGAAAAGAAAAAGAAAAAAAAAGAGACCAAAAGTCTGAATCACAATACCAGCACTAAAAGAGCGTCTCCCATCTCACTCATAGTCCATAGAAGAATTTACTTCAACGAGAAATCCTAGCCTTTATTATGTTTAGGTAATATCAGTGATGCTTTTTGCTGCAATACTATAGTACTCGCTGAGTAATAAATTGACTTCTAGAACATACAAGTTAACTTTGTACTAATATTATTTATGTTATGTAGGCTGACTAATTGTTTGATGGATTTACATATTACAGTATTTAGACATTTCTAGACTCCAGTAATGGTTGTTTTGTCTTCTGACAGAGCTCTGGGACCTCAGAATTTGAGCAAAGTAGAACTGAAAGGTGTGGCAGAGACACTGGCCAAACATCAGGGAACTAATGTGGAGTCAAAAGGCATCAAAGCTCACTTTTCTGTGGATGAGAGTGGACTTCTGAACCTAACTAATGTGGAACTGGTTGTGGAAAAGACATTAACGGAGGAAGAACTAGCGGCTCAAGAAGAATCCCCTCTATCAAAGTTGGGCAGTACTATCAGTAACTTCTTTACAGGCATGTAGCACTACCCATATTTGGAATGTGATGATTATTAGGTTGATCAAATCAAGGAGGATAGGATTGGCGGGGCATGTAGCATGTATGAGGAGATACGAGAAAAGCGTATAGAATTTTAGTCATTAATCATGAAAGTAAGAGACAGCTTATGAGACCCAGGCGTTTTTGGGAGAATGATATTGAACTGGGAATTTCATGACTAGCTAAGCAACTGTCTCCTTCTCTATAACAACTTTCCTCCGTAAAGCATAATACCATCCTCTCATGTAAGTATGTTTAGTGCATCATGTCAGAGAAAACAAATGTCTCCTACTGCTTCTACATACGTAAGCTGTTTTGGCTTTTAATTCGTTTTAATCAGCCATTGCCTGTTATGGCCTTTCCATGAATCAGTAGACATGGATTTGGTGTCTGCCTCTTGTATGTTCAGATCTATTAATACTGATATTCATGATTTAAGAATTTTACATTTGTCCACTTCTAATCTTGCCATGTTTCTCTTATTGATTAGTGTTTTAAATAATATCCAATTTTAAAGTTTAAACAGCCGGAAAATATGAGTCACCATTGAACTATACACGTAAGACAGAATGTTTTTGTTAAACTCAGTGTAAAAAGTTATAACATTACCTGCAGTAGTATGTGGTATGATCATCTGTTTTGGAAGTTTTTATTATTTTGGCCATTGAAAAAGATCATTCTGCTGCAACAACCTGAACAGGAATTTTCTCTACCATACCATTATGAGACCATGAGCCGGGATAGCTCAGTCAGTATAGTGACTAGCTACTGGCTGGATGGCCGGGATTCGATCCCCGACGGGGGCGGAGGATTTTTCCTCTAGCCTCTGCGTCCAGACTGGCTCTGGGGCCCACCCAGCTTCCTCTACAGTGGGTACCGTGGTCCTTTCCCGGGGGTAGAGCCGGCCAGGGCGTGATGCTGACCACTCACCCCCATCTAGTGCCGAGGTCAAGAAAGAGAGGAGCTATACCTCCACTCACCCCAAACGCCTGTACGGCACGTAGCGGGACAAATTTTACTTTACCATTATGAGACCAATTCAACAAATAAAGTGAATTTAGGTGTAGCAGTAGTTTGTTTAAAAGTACTGAATTAAATACTATTTTTGTCTTGAGTAAAGTTTTAAAAATCTGTTCAAAATTTTTGTACACTTAAATATTTTGTCACCTGAATTTTACAAAATAAATGTTTGTGCTGTTACTGCTATCACTACCAATGCCATCACTAACAACAACAACAGTCACCTCATCTGATACTTATTATTGCAGGTTCAGAAGAAAAGAAAAACGAAAAAGTAGAGGAGAAACCACCAACTGAAGAAGAAGAAGAAAAAAAGAAACAAGAGCCAGAGAGGAAAGAAGGAAAGACAGGTGATGAGAAAAAGGATGAAAAACCAACACAGCAAGGTCAGGACGGAGAGACAGAAGAAAATAAAAAAGCAGCAGCTCCTGATGAAGCAAAGAATATAACAAAGGCAGGAAGTAGAGAGAAGAAACCAAAGGTTGTAGTAATTAAAGAGGTCATTACTTCAGTAGAAAAGAAGTTAGGAGTGCCTGAACTCAGTGGAAACTTATTTGAAAATGCTGTTATGAAGTAAGTATTTCATTTATTCTGGTGTTTGTATTTATGCAAAACACTTCTTGTGTACAGAGAGGAGAAGTGTTATACATTGTTTCATTTATAATGTGGTTTACTTGTAAAAATATATCAGTGTAATCAGTCAAAAGAAATTAATGTACTCGGCTATGCCAAGGATATAATTTTTAATACTGTAATTTTAGATTGAGGTTTTTCAACTTCTTATTAACTTTTTAACATTTATATAAGCTGTCTTGTTTCTGTAATATGTTATTGAAGGTTTAAAGGTAAACAATTACTGCACAAAATGAAGCACATTAAAAAATAAATCTATTATATATTCTGTTCTTACATCCAACTGTTACAGTATATTACTGCTGTATATTAATTTTTGTAATTGGTCATTACCATGCATAGGAATGTTAAAGAAAGAGTATAAATACTTAGGTGATAACTTGTTTATTTCTTTACAATTCATGACAATTCAGAATTTATTACTAATTGTAACTGTCGTGGCATATGGATAGGACTTAAGCAAGAGAATAAATAGACAATGGTATTAGTGATCAGAACCACACTTACAGAATCCCACTCGCATGTACAAGTTCTTTTTAATTTTATTGAATTTTTCTTGTTGTCAAGATGTACATTGTATGTTTCTGGTATTACATGATGTTCCTTTCTTTCAGAATCGAAGCTTTAAATGAATTTGATAGACAGAGAAGTCGAAGGGAAAGTGCACTGAATGCCTTAGAGAGCTTCGTGTTTGATGCCCAAGGAAAACTGTGGTTAGATGAGTACAAAGCAGCAGCAACTGAAGAAGAAATGGAGAAAATCAAGAATGCATGTTCTGAAGTGAGTTAAACTGTGAAGAATTACCACATTCAGCTTCATATATTTTATTCATTTCACATTTTATATAATTTTTGTTTCTTGTGCCCAGATTAAACCATAGATTTATATGTTGTTGTCTCCCAGGTGTCAGACTGGCTTTATGATGAGGGTTCAGATGCTGATGCAGCAGCATATGAATCAAAGCTGAATGAACTGAAGACGTTAACAGGCCCATTGTATTGGCGAGTGAAGGAGCATGCAGAGAGACCCGAGGCATTAGCAGCTCTTCGTTACATGATCAATGGCAGTTTAAATTTTCTTAACAATGCAAGGAATATGACCACAGAGAGTCCTGAAGGCTTTTTCACCCAAATAGAACTTGACACACTGGAGAAAACCATCAAGGAAACTGAGGTATATTGACACCCTATTTGTTCAAATATAATATGAAATTTTTTTACATGACTTGAAGCTTTTGCAGCAGCTAGATGTGATAAAATTCCTGGATAACAAACTGTTTCAATACAGTTAGTTGCCTGAGAAGATTTTATCGCATAATATGAGATTTTTTTACTTTTATTATGATTAAAGAAGTTAGGAAAAGTATGCCTAGTGCAACAGTTCCGGTGTTTGCCAAAATTTGACCTCTGACATTTGTGTCATGAATGTCTAGTTACATTTAGCAATCACCAGCTTATTATCAGTATTTTTGAAACATAACCTGTCTTTTTTCACAGCACATGGTTTGTAGACAGACAGTCTTATGCTAATAACTAAAATTTTCAGACTAATATGATTGCCACTACTGACTAGCATGACGGTTATTTGCATCCGTATTGAAATCGCTGTCTGCAAGTATTCCTTTTTTTAATTTGACGAGGATACAAGCATACTTAGTGTTCACCATCTCTGGCATACTGTTAAGTTCAGTTGTTGTGATGTTTTATGCCAGCTTCAAAGGGAATATTAGAACTACAAAGAGTCCATATAGCTCACTCACTAAAACGAACTTTATTTTTCACTGACAATTTTAAGAAATCACAGGAAGATCATGCATGCACATATGGAAACTTGCGTTGATGTTCTCGAAAGGAAGATTTGAGAATGCACATTTATGCATTCACATTCCTCAGAGGGTTAAAACAGAACAGTGGTACAGTAGGGCACCGCATATACGGCAGGTTAGGGACCAGACCCCCGCCGAAAAGCGGATCTTTGCCTTTTTTCAATTGCAAATGCATATCAAAGCCTAATAAGATGTTTGCACTATCATATAGTAAGTGCACAATAGCGCTAGGCCTAAAAAAACGATATGAAAGTAAAATGAATATCAGTAGTAGCTGTAAACAGATTGAATCAGTGATGAGAAAATGGAGCCGGACGCACTTCTCTGACTCAGCTGTTGAGCGCGTGGGGCATATGCACGCAATTGAAAAGCGCCGTGTTAGCGGATCGCCGAAAAGCGGGGCCCTACTGTACATTAAGTAGAATAACAAGAATTGTGCAAATTACATCTGTCCAATATTTTTACCTTTATTGCATTTACCTTGTAAGAGCTTTAGTTTTATGATTATGATGATAAAGAATTATGAAAGGAAAAGATGTGTGTTATCTACAATTTTTTTTAAATAGGAATGGAAAACTGGGATGGAAGAGGAACAAGCGAGGTTACCTCTTTCTTCTGCACCAAAGTTGACAGTGAAATCTATCACAGATAAAATGGCTGTTCTTGACAGAGAGGTAAATCTAATGCATGCTTGTATGATTAATTTATAAAGAATTGCATCTCATTTTTAAGTCTTAATTTGTAGGGACTACAGTGAAACCTCTATCCATCGTTCCCGGAACTATCGTTTTCCCGGATGCATCGTCCGTTTTGTTCGGTCCCGAATACATCCCATATAAAATAATGTTACATTTTCCCGCTTCTATCGTTCCTCGAACTATCGTTTTATCGCATCGATCGTTCAAAAATCGTAGTCCCGGCCCACAATTTTCCCGCAATGATCGTTCCTGAGAATTTAAAATGCTGGGTTTAGAGATAAATTAATACCGAAAGACGCACAATGTTTTTGGAATAAACAGTAGCGGTAACCTGTTATGTCGCCCAACCAGCACATTCTTTTGGAATGAGGGTCAGCGGTGCAGGGGTGATAGTTGGAGTGAATGGCGGTGCCCATTGTCAGAAATTTTACGATTTTAATTAGGGTGCACTCATATTTCGTTCCAGCGATGCCAGATGGCATGTGCAGTGTGAATTTCTTCACAAATGCTTTTATTATAAGTACAAAGGAAAGGCGAGCGAAACTTTTTCATTCTTCTGGTTCATATCGTGTCTTCTACAGCTACGTTTCGTTGAGTTCGGCAGTAATAGTACTTCCATTCTTCCTGTTATTGTCCGCAAAGGGGGTTGGAGCGGTGAGGAAGAGGAAGACGACGAATGCGAGCCCGAAGCTTTGCCGAGTTTTGCCGAAGCACACGCTGCATTGGCGAAAGTGAAGTCGTTCTTTTATGCGCTTAATATTAGTGAACGTGACGAAGAAAACATTTTGAACGTGGAAAGGGCTCTGTTTGGCCTAAAACGTAAAGTTTCG